TTTTCTTCTTGAACTATGGTTTCAGGGCTTACATTTAAGTCTTAAATTCATTTGAGTTCACTTTCTCTATGGTATGGAGAAGGGTCCAACTTCAGCCTTTTGCAGATACCATTTATTGATACCATTTCTCAGATACCATTTATTGAACATACTGTCCTTCCCCATTGTATGCTGTTGGTGTGCGCAAAGATTAATTGACTTAATATTACTATTCTGTATTATAGACATGTACTAATAGATAAAAGTTTAGTTAACTACATACTCATGGATTTATTTTTGGATTCTCTATTCTATTCCATGGTCTGTGTGTGCTTTTAGGCCACTACCTTACTGCTGAGTACTTTAACTCAGTAATGGATTTTGATATCAGAAAATGTGATCCTTCCTGCTTTCTCTTTGTTAAGATTGTTTTGTCTATTCAAGTTCTTTGGTTGTTTCATATACACTATCTTAGCATAGTTTTTTGATTTCTTTTAAAAATAATTATAATTTTGATAAGGTTGGTATTAAATCTGTAGATTGCTTTGGATAGCATAGAATTGCTTACAATAACAATGATTCCAATCTGTGACCATGACCTGTCTTTTTATTTATTTGTGTCATCTTCAGTTTCTTTCATCAATGTCTTATTGTTTTTGGCATACATATTTTTTACCTTCTCAAATTTATTTTTAAGTATCTTATTCTGATGCTACTGTAAATGCAATTACTTTGACAGTTTGTCATTAGTATATAGAAATGTAACTGGTTTTTAAATTTGTACCCTGAAACTTTATTGGATTCATTAATTCACCATTTCTAACAGTTCGTGGGGGGAGCTTAGAGTTTCCTATACAGTCTATAAAATCACATTTTCTGGGCAGGAAAAATAACCTCGTGGTAAAGCACTTGCCCAGCATGGGTAAGGCCTAGGGTTGATCCCTAGCAACAAACCGACACACCACCACACCACAATGTTATCTGCAAACAGAGACAATTTCACTTCTTCTATTGTCACTGGAATGCTTTGTATTTCTTTTTCTTGCCTAACTGCTCTGGCTAGGACTTCAGTAATTGTATTAGAAAGAAGTGGTGAGAAAGAGCTACCCTTGTCTTGTTCCTGATCTTAGATTAAAAAAAATCTTTCAGCTTTTTGAGTATGTATATTAGCTGTGGGTTTGTTACTTAGTTTTGTTATGTTGAAGTACACTGCTTCTATACAGACTTTATCGAGTCTTTAATTATTACATAATGTAGAATGTTGTTAAATGCCTCGCATCCCTATTGACATGATCATATGCTTTTTATTCTTTATTCTGTCAGTGTGGCATATCATATTTTTACGTATGTTAAATAATTCTTGTAGCCCAGGGAGAAATCCTGCTTGCTTGTCATGTTATGATCTTTTCAATATGCTGCTGACTTCAGTTTGCTAATTTTTGTTGAGGATTTTTGCTTATGTTTCATTTTGGCCTGTAACTGTCTTTTCCTTTAGTGTCTTCATCTGGCCTTGATGAGTGTAATAAGTGGCTTCATAAAACAAGCTGGAAGTATTCTCTCTTTTGCAATGTTACAAAACAGTTTGAGAAGTTCTGACATTAAGTCTTTCTAAATGCCTGGTAGAATTCACACATAAAGTCCTCTGGTCCTGGACTTTTCTAGGAGGTTTTTGATCACTGATTCAACTTCCTGATCTGTTCACATCTTCTATTTATCCACTATTCAGTCTTGGTAGATTGTATGTTTCTAAGAATTTATCAGTTGCTTTAAGTTACCCCATGTGTTGTATTGTGCATAACAAACCCTTTATGACTCTTTGTATTGCTGCAGTACCATGTAAAAGTCTCTTCTTTCATTTAAAATTTTGAGTTCTCTCTCTCTCTTTTTTCTTGGTTAGTCTAGCTAACAATCTGCCAAGTTTATGTTTGAAAGAGCCAATTTGTACATTCATTGATCATCTCTATTACCCTTACAATCTCCATTTCATGTATTTCTGCTGTCATTTTGCTATTTCTTGCCTTCTTCTAACTTTGGGCTTAGTATGTTCTTTTTCTAGTTCTTTGAAATATGACATTGAGATTTATTTCTTATTTTTACAATTACTTTGAATTGTAGGATATGGGTTGTGGGTATCTAATTCACTGTATCATTCTTTCATTTTATCTGTATGCTTGAAATTTTTTATGACACATGTTGGGAAAATATCTTATCCAGAAGCTCAGTGGATAAAATGCAAAGCACAGAGTGAGTGTTACTGAAGCAGGAGAGAAACCCCACAGCCCCTCCACTCGGCCCCTCTTGACATGGCCCCTCAAGGCACTTGCCTGGGACTTTGGCATCTCAGGGACAAAACTTATGATAACTGCTATAGATGTCCCACCTGATCAGGAAGAGGGATTAAATGACAATTTTCAAGACTACTACTAGATCTAGCATAGATCCAAGATATTAATAGTATCACAGGACAACTATTTAAGTATCTTCCAAACTTTAGTCCAGTGAAACGTATTACTAAATTCTCAACTGTTCTACAAGCCATTTTAAGGTAGGACAGAAGAAATAAAGATAGGTAGAAAAGAGGAAAGAGACAAACAAATTAGGATTTAAAAATTGTGCTTTTAGAAAAATGACATTTTCAGGTACAGAAGTTACTCAAGTTAGGAAACTCAATTTAAAAAAGTCAAAGGTTTTAAGACACAATACACCTATAAATTGAGCTTCCTCCCACAGCAATATTAGTGGCAATATTAGTGGCCAGCATCAAACACATGTAAACGGTTTGATTCCAAACACAGCTTTGCGATGGGTACCTTCCCAGTAGGAATATACATCCCAGATCACACATGCTTGAAGATACCCTCAAGGGTCCATAAGTATACCCAGCTCTGTATCATAGTATGTCTCATTTATTTGAATGTTCACACTCTACTTTTGAGTGTGTACTTTAAAAATTTTTGTCTAATAAGTCCTTTACGGGTAGGGTGGGTTTAACTCTCTAACTCCATTTTGGGAATCTTCTCAGACTGTCCCGTATGAAAATTTCAGTTTTTTCAAAGTAGAAATATCAAGGAGAATGATTACTTAGAATTGAATTCTGACCAAGTAGGATTGGCTGGTAGTGAGTAAGTAGTGATGGATCACTGGGCAATGGTGGCTTTGGAATTTGAGATGGACAAAGATGGAACACTGGACATGATCAAGCATGTATCTTAGAAAAGACTACTCAAAATGGAAATTTGATCAAACGTTAACAAAAGAGGAAAAGCACTGAAAGACACCCATGTGGCTGCTGCACAGGGAATTTATGTAGTCAGATTTTAAATATTGAAATGATGGAAGAAAGAATGAACAACTATAGAGGAATACAAAAGCCTTGAAAAAAATCTTTTGATGTAGTTTCAGGAATGCTAAAGTAAAAAAATATATATATAAAACAGAAAAATTAGGATTACTTTTCAGATTAGACTGCTTAATATTAACAGCAGATTTACTAATCTCTTCCATCAAAAAAATGATCTGCAAACTTGAAAGAGCAAAATGGTTCACAGGTGGCATAAAAAGAGACCACAAAAATAAAAGTAAGAGGTGAAAAGTTTGAAAATCAAGAGAAGTGGCATCAAATATAAAAACGTTCCTGTATCTGAATGGGAGAACGAGTAGACTGTGGCAAATATCGATTCATGAACTGCTGCAATTCATGGAAAATTCTAAGATGAACTACTACACAGAAATTCAGTAAGCATTTGGGAAAAGAATCAGTGATTACCAGGAAGTCTCAGGGGTTCACAGTGAAATTGATCTATCTTTTTTAAAAATAGGGTCATTTATCAAAAAGACACAGTAGGGGTGACAGATACACAACCAGTGTGTCCTACAGCAAGGTATTTACCAGGTATTTCAATTTCTCGTTGGACTACGCTGCATGATTGTACAGTCAGATAGACTTATATATCTGCTATTGACTGAAGAACTACAACTAAATGTGTGGATTAACAAATGGAATGTCAGATCGATTGGGGCTTCTGGTGTCAGTGCTGCGTTGGTCTAGCGCATCCTTTTTCTTTCTATGACTTAGAATTCATGATTATGAAATCAGAGGATGACAGAGTATTTTGGAAAGAAATCTACAAGTTATTGATAGGATAGAGCAATTACGTAAATTAAAGAGAAATTTTTTGGATACAGATGGATAAAGTTCCACAGTAACATTTCAGTTACAGAACAGGGGATAACTTGAACACTTTCTAGAATAATATTATACTGGAATAAATTATAATAGAATCCATTATACTTTTAATTACACTGATGCCATTTTAGTTTGATTTAATGCTAATGTAAAATCCAAAGCAAGAAGGTAACTGTTGTGCTGTAAACTGGTAGGATTACATCTGAACTAAGTTCTAGATGAGCCAATTTAAGAAGAAATCAATAAAAGTAAGTGGCATGAAGGGAAGGACAGTTGGAAACGGCAGATGTGGGAGATGGCTGAAGGAAATGGAGATGGTAAGGCTGGAGAAAATGAGAGCCATGATGCCCAGTGATCTTCTCACAGACGAAGGTGGTGAGAGGACCAGGATGGAGGTCCAGTGATGCTTCAGAGACAGAACTGTGGCTGCGGAGAGAGAAACTGAGCTCGTGCTCGGGCAGCACATTTTAAATCTGTAGCTTCTATGATACGAATTTAGTTGCTTTGTGATGAACCGTAGTAAGATCCTCTCTCTTGATGTATACTAATACAGGTTAGAAAGGCAGTCGTCTGAAATGTTGCAAAACTTACAGTCTGTGAGAGGTCGGATTTGAGAACTACTAAACACCTATCAAGGAGAAATTCTATGCCATGAGAACTTCACTCAAATTAGTGACTCAAACACAACACCATGGAAGGGTTTATATGTCTAAGCTGTAAAGAGCATTATTAATGGCACAGGCCTTCAAGCTGTAAAAGTGCACGGAAAAACAACAGATAAATTTTAGGTTTTAATGAGAGTGAGCAAGTGAATGTAATAAACATCAGACACTACCTTGACAGGATATGAAAAAAGCTTGACAAAACCGAAGTCGTCTCCAGTGGCTAAGAGGGAGCGGTCTTTGGTCAGACTGGCAGCATTGACGTCAGTCACATCGCTGTGCGCGGGCCAGATTCCCTCACAGGTGGGCCCCAGGACACAGCTCCATGTGTCCCACTCTATCTTCTCCATCTACAAAAAGAGGAAAGAAAATTATGATTTTTTGCTAGTTTACCTGAAAGAAAGAATTGCAGTTAATTCTAAACAATGACTTTGTCAACAGCATGCACTTGTGCTGTGATGCAGTATACACATTCTAAGCTGTGTATTTATAAAGCAGTGTCTTTGCATTGTCTTAGCCAACGCTGTAGTCAAATAGTCAAATATTTTTCTCCAAATCAAAGGTACATTTTGGAATTGTGAAAAATCTGATGATAGAATGTTTTTAATTCTTCTGGCCCTGAATCAAGGCCAGCAGCTTCCTGATGCTGTTGGTTTCAAGTAGGAGCCTAAAGAGAGGTCTTTCTATGATCTGTTGGCCACTTCAGAACTTGGGCAAGTGCAATGGTCAAGTCATTAGAAAGAAACAACTGGAAGCAACCCCTCCTGCCTCCGGTGGGCAGCTGTGAGCGTGGGCGGCTGTGGCGGCACAGGACGGGAGCCACCATCATTTACTGGGACCCTTGCCATGCTGGGACCTGGAGCATCGGGAAACCAGGTGGTCCCTCCCCGCTGGTGAGTGGCTATGAGCATGGCAGGCTCCACATTTACTGGGACCTGTGCCATAATGGGACCTGGAGTGCTGGGAAACCAAGCAACCCACCCCACTGCCTGAGAATCACACATTACATCCCCCCCCCCAACACACACATCCCCATTAGCGAGTGGGAGCCAGGGATCTGGACATCCCTTGAGAGGCTGACCATAGGCAATGTAGCAAATAGGGGGATTTCCTTCCACCACCTCTTTGAAGGCAAATACTTTTATCCCTGTTTTGCTTTGTTCTAATTAATGGTGTTATTTTAGCCTGTTTTGTTTTGTTGGACTTCAATATATGTGAAAGTATGGATAGCTATTTTGAAGAGAATGAGAGACTCTAAGACTTCCCTATTGTCTGGTTTTGAACATCTAAAAACTTCCTCATTCTATTCGGATCAGTTTTATACTATGTTGTTTTGTATGAATTCTCTGTATGTGAAGACATGGACAACTATTTGGAAGAAAACAAGAGACAATATGATAGTGAAGATCTCAGGTCGTCTAGCTTTGAAATGTGTATCTCTTACATTGCTTTCTTATGTCCTATTTGGTTCTGTTTTGCTGTGTTTAATTTTACCACTTTAAAATGAAAAAAGAATGTTTTTAATTCTTAACTAGCAATTTATTATGGTATAAGCCATAGGCTAGATCATGGTTTCTTACCCCAGCACTGATACCTTAGGCCAGGTAATTCTTTGTTGTGGGCAAGAGTCCTATGCAGAAAGATGTTTAGCAGCCTCCTGGCCACATCCCTGGATGCTAGCACACACCCTTGTCCACAGACATGGCCAAATATCACTGGGGGAAAACTGCTTCTAGTTTAGAACTACTGAGCTACGTCGATCAATGGAAGATCATTTAGCAAAGTATGTTAAGGAGTCATGAAAGAAAGTATTTTTTTGAGGACTGCTTCCGTGGAGGAAAAATTAACAAGATTCTGTAGCTAGCTTAATACTGTTAATACTCTAGAAACTATCTTAAAAATGTGAAGAGGTATTCCCATTGCATTGCCATGAATACACATTTTATCCTTTAATACTGTTTTGCTTGAAATTCATAGCTCACTTTACAACTTGTATAGGTTAAATCCTGATAAAATTGAGGCTTTTCTTACAATAACAAGAAATAACAAAACTATATGTAGGCTTCCTGGGGGACACTGCCTCTTAATTCTCCTTTCCCATCTGCTAGTACATCGCAGCATTATGCTGTCTTTAGATTGGCTCTTAAAACACTGTCTAAAAAGGGACTAGAAGCCTTTAGAGAACAGTAACTAAAGCGGAAGCACCGACCTGCCCATCTTTGGATCTGGACACTGCCTGACACATTGCTAATGCACTCCTGCCTCCAGTTCTCTATTTTTCTGCTGACAATTACTGCTTAGAAGAGATGTTACAAGATAAAGATGCAGCCAGGCTTTTAGTCACCACGTGGTAAGGCGATATAGGCTTCTTAGTCGCTCAAATTTGTCCTCACTTAACATTCTGCCTTTTTCTTTCTGCAGAATTGGAACCAAAAATCAGTGCCTGGTCCAATGACTTGGGGCGCCTCAGGCTGGGCCACAGACTGAAGTGACTCAAGATGGCTCATCCAGCAAGCACCTCCTTTTCTGAAACAGAAGTTGAACCTTCTACCCCCTCGTGACATCCTGCAGTGACTTTCACAGGAAGAGAGAAACAGGCAACCTTCTCCTGCAGGGTCAGGATGCGGCTTCTCAGCCACAAACTGCCTTGCAGATTCCAGGTTCTGTTTCTGAGACCCTCCTGGCCATTCCCAGTCCCTCTAGTGGTCCTGACCTTGTTAGATGGGCAGCAGACTGAGCTTATTGCCCATTGTGCAGTGACCATGACAGAAACCCTTGGCAACATCTTGACACTGGTCTTGTTGGGTAAAGTAAACGCCTAAACTTTGGTAGCTACAGAAACTGCATTTAAATTGAATATCAAGAATGATCCTGTAATCCATAAAACTCAAAAGGGCTAAGCAAATTGTTTAAAATCCTGGAACTCAAATGGAAGGAGAGTACTCAAGGAGTCTCTTCCTTAGTGCTTTGAGTAAGGTAATTTTAGCTGCGTGTGGTGGCACATGCCTATAATCCCAGCACTCTTGAGGCTGAAGCAAGAGGATTACAGTTTAGAGCCCAGCCTGGCAATTCAGTGACTCAGTAGGAACCTGTTTCAAAATGAATAATAAAAAGGGCTGGGAAAGCAACTCAGTGCAAAGGCCCTGAGTTCAATCCCCAGTACATTCCCACCCCAAAAAGCATGAGATTTTTATTTACTTATTTTTTAGAGTTTTTGTTTGTTTGTTTTTGTTTTTGTTTTTTGAGACAGGGTCTCATTATATAGTGCAGACTGATTTTGAACTCCCTTATGTAGCCCAGGCCGGCCTCGAACTCATAGTGATCCTCCTGCCTCTGCCTCCTAAGTCCCAGGATTACAGTGTGTGACTACAATTTTAAAAATTATGTTACTCATTCAATTAACATTTTTTGTTTGTGCTAGGTACTTTGTATGTCTTTGTAAATCCTCAGAACAGCTTCATAGGAATGTTGACAATCTCATTTTACAACGATCATCATACTGCAGAGGAGGCAACTAAAACCCATATATTGGTTACTGCCTTAAGTTACAGTGAGTGTAGGAAGCAGAGGGTGAGTGGTATTCAAGAGATTGTCTCCCAGAATAGTGTACTTTAACTTCTGAGTTAGATAGATTTTAAATGTGTGACATTTTTATGTATTTCATACTTAATAATTTTCTGAGTAAGCAGTGCATTAATTTTACCATAGTTGTTCTTTTAAAAAAAACTCTTTTCTGAAAGGGAGATTTTTTCCAAAGTCCTTCGTTCTCAGCTGAAGGGCCTGACAACATTGGTGCTTCAAGTTCTGAGTCTCTTCTTGGGCATCTTAGGACTGCACTGCTATGAGGGTTGGCCAACCTATCAGCTGGGAGCCTCCTCAACCAATATTACCTGGAATTGGCCTCTGGAATAACAAATGTGCACCACAGACAGACACATTAACTCTTCAGAGCAAAACCCTGGTATTCTTGGAAACTTTACAACAAATTTTCCTCCTGTGCATATTCTTTTATGTAGTGACTTTATCACTCTCAAACCAAACCTCATTCCCTCGCTCATTTTGGATACTAGGACAGAACGCAAAAATAAAGCTAAAGTGAAAAATGATGCTTAACTACATGAGAAAAATCCAAGAAGTCATGCAAGGACTCTTCAGATGAGCCTGCAGCTCCGAGTTCCTCTTGTTCTTTTGGAGCCTTAATTTCCTTATTTGTAAAGTGAGACTGACAGTTATCACATAAAGTTGGTATAAGGGTTAAAATATAGGTATGTAAAGTGTCTAGCACATACAACAAATATTCAGAGAATGAATGACGTAGTTAAAAATCCCTCTTACTCAAGGCTATAAAAGGTTCTCCATATAAAAAATCTTATGTAAGGACTAATCAGAGATAAATAAATTGGGGTTGGAAAGTGAGATGGATTCAGCACTATTAACACACTGCCATACAAGTTACATGTCTTTGTACTGCACAATGAAAGCATTGTTAGTGTACCGAGGTCCAGGCATCTTTGGGAGTACTTGACAATCCTGGGATAGTTCGTAACACTGGCCAGCTCAAGGTGCAGAGGGCCATTACTTGTCATAAAGCAACATTATCCTCTTGTCTCCTTCTCCAAAGAAGCATTATCTCCTTTTTTTTCTTAAAGTTTATTTAGCAGGTAGGTGAGGCAGTTTATCTTCACGCACTATGAAGACTTCCTTAGTGCTTAGTCACCCAATAACCTTCAGTTCTGCAATTCATTATGTCCAGACCGGGCAGAGTTTTCTCCACAAAGCTCTCAGGTAGGTGTCCATGTGCAGATTCAAAATTTCATACAGGTTTTGATTTGAACATTTTAAAAGTCATGTACATAGTTAAGGGTAGGAGACAAGTGTGGAAGGAGAAAATAATTTGATATACTGGACTAGATTGTTTTGTTTCAAAAAATAATTTCTGTTATCATTGTAGATATTATTACAAATAAAATATTTCAATATTTTATGTTCATAGAAAGCATTATATGAAATGACATGTCAAATGGGAAAGCAACATGCAGCACTGAAACTTTTAGCCTATTCATTGTCTTCGGGTAAAAAAAAATTAAGCAGAGTGCCAACTGAACATTGCTACATCAGTGGTAGAGTAAATAAGTGGCCTCAGAAAGCAAGAAAACAGATTAAGCAATGATACAGATATAAGAAATGATCAAGTTTAAAGGTGAACTAAGTGTAACCCATATTAGCAGTTAAGATCTATGGAGTCTAATTAAACAGACATATTAAAACTTCACAAAATACTTTTAAAAAGCTTTGTGTATGATTATTACCTCCGAGGGCCTTATAATATGCCTTTTTCCTCTTGGAGCTTCAAAAAAAAGTTGTTCTTTGGCACCTGAATTAACTTGCAATAATTTTCCTGTTATAACAGAAAGAAGCAGACAATTTACTGAAGCATTTATGTTCACTATAAAACAATACACACAACTGCCACTATTTTGATTCATTTTAATGAAAACTTCATAAATTAAGTAAATATATGTTAAGTGATTCAGAGGAGGGTATAAAAGCAATTGCATGATATGGTACAAACCATATCATGGTATGGTGTAATTTTCAGAATACAGACCTCAGAAAATTGGACCTTCAAGATTCTCCAAATAATAAAAGAATCAAGCTTGATATATAGGTGTTGAAAAATAGCTATAATTTTCCAAACCCTGACAAAATCATTTTTTTTAAAGTTCTTTTCTTCTGTGGCCTCCTAGCATACAGAGAAACTAAAAGCCAACTGCTTTGGCAAGAATTACGACATAAGCAATAAAGATTCTTCCTGAGTGGGGTGCATTTAAATTTGCCTTTAAAATTAGGAACAGAAAGGACACACAAACTATGCATGTTCATTCCCTCCTCACTTGTCTTCCTTGAAAACTGGGGAAGAAAACACAAGTTTTTCTCAAACAAAATGTTAAAACAAATAGTCTTTCAGTCTGACATAAGGATATGATTTTAAATTCATTTTGACTGTTGTTGAAAAAGATTAAAATTCTTAATTTCCTTCCTACAATGACAACAGTGCTGTAAGAATTGAAATTTTCAATGCTTCAAGATACATACATAGTCTATTTTCCAGTATTTTTTAAATTATGGAACATTTCAAACAAACAGAAGTGAGTATGGAATAAAGATCCCCTGTGCCCCCACTGCCAGCTTCTGCAGTCAGAATCAGTGGTCAAGCCTGCCTCATGGCACTGCCTGCCTCAGCCTAGATTATTCTGAAGCACATCTCAGACACTGTAATAATTATCTAGAAACACTCTATATGTGTGTGTGCGCACATGTATGCATGTATACAATAACATTCTTCCCTCTTTTTTTTTTGGTGCTGGGGGTCAAACTTATGACCTCACACTTGCCAGGCAGGTACTTGCGCCACTGAGCTATATCTGTGCCCCCCTTATTTCTTTAAATTACTTATATTTAAATCTTAAAATGTCCTTCTTGGGGGAAAAATATCTAAAGAACATTGTGGTTTATCTTATGTTCTTTAATATTTAAGTAGGTGCCACCTTGGTCTAAAATCTAGTGTGGCTATTAAAGAAGTGTCAGTCTAAGTAATGAAAACCAAAGTTCTCTCACGTCTTTATTCATGTTCCTACTGTTTCTAATTTGGTGAATTTTTACACGTCATTGGAGGTGGGACAGACTGCTTTGATTTTGAGGAGCACAGTAACGTGGTCCCTAAACTGAGTATGACTCCTGACTTTGTGACTAAATGTATACAAATGAGAAGCATAAAAGGGACTTAAGTTATCTTTAATGCTATTTAGCATTAGCAGAAAATGAAGAGTCAGCACTTTTAAAATGAACTAAATGTATCAGTAATTATATTTTTAGGATTTTAAAAAGTGACTGCAAGTGGCAATGCACATGGGAAAAGGATTAAGGGATTTTGAATGGCTCACTTTAGATAAAACTTTGGCCATGCCATACCAAAAGAACACAGAGGATTGTGAGTCTCAGATAAGATTAATGATTCAGAGAAGCCCGTTCCTTTGTCTGAAGGACTGAATACTTCTGCAAGCAGGGAGGCATCGCAGCTTCCTGAGGCACCTCAGCCTGTGGTGAGTGCCCAGCACAGTCTGCCCAAATCTCAGACTGTTCCGGACCCCCCAGGCTTCTGGGTGCAGTGAAGTGGAGCAGTGGGTTAGAGGCCACTACAGCTGCCTCCCCATCCCCCCCGGCTACACTTGGAAGTCTGCTGAGCTCCTGACGGATGGGCGGGCCTACACTAACCCCCGAGCCCAGCCGCGCCTAGCCATCTGCCTGCAGAGGAGGAGCTGGGCGGATCTGGAGTGCCTGCAGAAGTCCCTTCCTTTGCCTAGAGGACTGTGGATATCTCTGCAAGCAGGGAGGGATCACAGGATCCTGAGGCACTGTGGCCTGTGGAGAGCACCCTAACCCGGCTGCAATTGAAGAGCTGTGGATCTTCCAAGGGGCAGGTGGGCGCACAGTGTCCCTGAGGCCCAGCTTGTCTGGAACTGCGGAGTTCTGAGCAGGCAGAGGAGGGACACTGGTTCTGCAGGCCCAATGGCTTGGGGTAGTGCGGTGTCAGAGGCTCAGTAGCTCCAAACATAGAAGGGAATTTTCAACAGATCCTGAGGAAGCTTTCAAATAACACTTGAAACACAGAAATATACAAAATGACAAAACGAAAGACCAAATTACAACCTCAAAACTCCAGCCCATCTCAGGAAACCCTAGGAGCAATGTATATAGAAGAAAATATATCCCATCCACCTCATATATCGGACATAATAGCTACTGAAGTTGACAAACAACTCCAGGAAGCTTTAAAGAAATTCAAACTCGAAATAATCTCCCAGATAAAAGAAGAAATGATAAAAGAAATGAAAGAGATTCTAAATATATCTAAAGAAAACACAGATAAAAAATTGGAGGAACTAAACAAAAAGATAGAATCCCTAGACGAGCAATATAAGAAACAAACAGAATACATAATGCAGATGCACAGAGATATACAGGAAATAAAAAACTCCACTGAAAGTTGTAAAAACCGCCTTAATGAAAGTGAAGATAGAATTTCAGACCTTGAAGACATGATTGCAGCTAGTGAACAGGAAAGGAAAGATCTTTTGAAAATAACAAGGAATCAGGAAACAACAATTCAACAACTGCAAGACGATGCAAAGAAGAATAACATAAGAATGATAGGGATTAATGAAAGAGAGGGAGACAACATAAAGGATGTCAAGCGGATATTTAGAGAAGTAATAGCTGAAAATTTCCCAAGCATGAGATCAGAAACTGACATCAAGATCAGTGAAGCATATAGAACTCCAAACACTCATAACCAAAATAAAACTACACCCAGACATATAATAATCACCATCCCAGAAATCCAACACAAGAATAGATTACTAAAAGCTGTCAGAGAGAAAAGACAGATCACTTATAAAGGAAAACCTATCAGAATCACAGCAGACTTCTCAGCACAAACGATAAAGTCAAGAAGAGCATGGAGTGAAATATTCCAGATCCTAAAGCAAAATGATTTCCAACCAAGACTGATATATCCTGCAAAACTATCATTCAAAATAGATGGTGCAATACGATACTTCCATGACAAAGAACAGCTGAAGAACTTCATGAACACCAAACCGACCCTGCAAAAAATATTGAAAGACAGTTTAGATACACAAAGGAAAAAACCACTAAGCAAAGCAAATAATTAAAAAGAACAGAAAGATAAAGATGCAACAGCAGAGAGATAACATTCCTACAATTAACCAGCATTTAACAGTAATAACCATTAATGTAAATGGTCTCAATGCACCAATCAAAAGAAACAGACTAGCAGAATGGATCAAGAAACAAAATCCAACCATATGCTGTTTACAGGAAACCCATCTAACCCAGAAGGATACTCACAGACTGAAAGTCAAAGGATGGAAAACAATTCTTCATGCAGCAGGAATCCAGAAAAAGGCAGGAGTAGCCATTCTGTTTGCAGACAACGTGAACTTTAAACCAACAATGACCATAAAGGACAAAGAAGGTCACTACATACTTGTAAGGGGAAAACTCCAAGAGGAAGAGATAACTATCTTAAATATATACGCACCAAACTCCAGAGCACCAAGTTATATAAAACAATTATTAACAGAAATGAAAACTCAAATTATCAGTAACACAATTGTAACAGGAGACCTTAATACGCCATTGACACCAAGGGACAGATCAACCAGACAGAAAATGAGCAAAGAAATAACAGAACTGAATCATACCTGTGAACAAATGGGTTTGATAGACATATACAGGATGTTCCACCCAACAACATCTGAATACACATTCTTCTCAGCAGTACATGGATCATTTTCTAAAATAGACCATATATTAGCTCACAGAACATATTTAAACAAGTGCAAAAGAGCTGAAATCATCCCTTGCATGTTATCGGATCATAGCGCTCTGAAATTAGAAATTAATGATAAAAGATACTGCAAAAATCCCACAAACACATGGAAACTGAATAACACACTCTTGAGTAATCAGTGGGTCACAGAGGAAATTAAAGAAGAAATCAAACAATACCTAAAAGAAAATGAAAATACAGATACAACTTACCGGAACCTGTGGGATGCAATGAAAGCCGTCCTGAGAGGAAAATTTATTGCACTGAGTTCCCACATCAGGAAAACAGAACGAATACAAATAAATAACTTGATGCTACACCTCAAACAGCTAGAAAAAGAAGAGCAAGTCAAGCCCAAAGCCAAAAGAAGAGAGGAAATTATAAAAATCAGAGCAGAAATCAATGCAATAGAGACTAAGAAAACAATCCAAAGAATCAACAAATCAAAGAGTTGGTTCTTTGAAAGAATAAATAAAATCGATAAGCCCCTAGCCAACCTTATTAAAAAAAGGGAAGAAAAAGCTCAAATTCATGCAATAAGAAATGAAAAAGGAGAAATCACTACAGACCCAATAGAAATACAGAAGATCATCAACACCTATTTCGAAAACCTCTACTCTCAAAAGTTTGATAACACAGAAGAAATAGACAGATGCTTAGAAGCATATGAAGTGCCAAAGCTAGATCAAGAGGATGTAAAACTGTTGAATAACCCAATCTCTGTTACTGAAATTGAAAATGTAATTAAGTCCTTACCCACCAAGAAGAGCCCAGGCCCAGATGGATTCACTGCAGAATTCTACAAGAAATACAAAGAAGACCTAATGCCGACACTCCTCAAACTGTTCAATGAAATTGAAAGGGAAGCAATCCTTCCTAAGTCGTTCCTGGAAGCAAATATTACTCTAGTACCAAAACCTGAGAAAGACCCAACTAAAAAAGAGAACTATAGACCAATCTCCCTAATGAACACAGATGCAAAA